GAAGAAGAAGAAGAAGAAGAAGAAGAAGAAGAAGAAGAAGAAGAAGACCACCTCCGTTTATTTTCAAAGCCCGGCCTGTCCGTTCTCTCCCCCAGGGCTCCCTGCCAAGCCTCTGGCAAAGACCTGGGCGCCTCGCAAAGCAGCAGGCGGCATTTTCACAGGGTATTCCACACACACACACACACACACACACACACACACACCAGAACGGCAAAGTCTGGCGACCCTCAGAAGCTACACAGCTAGTCCTCACTTCAGGGCCACCCTTGAGCCCCAAATGCCTTTTGCTCAGCAAAGTGGTTGTTAAGTTAGCTTTACCCCATTTTACAACCTGTCTGCCCTAGTTGTTAAGTGAATCACTGCAATATTCAGTGAGCCTGGCTTCCCCTTTGACTTTATTTATTTACTTTATCTTATTTATTTATTTTTGCCAATTGCTTACAAGATAATAGGTATTAAGTAAAAACATAGTTATGAATACATGGATACATATAAGAAAAAGAAAAGAAACAATAGGACAGGGACGGTAGGCACGTTGGTGCGTTGATGCACCCCCCCCCCCAATTACAGACCTCTTAGGAAAGGGGTGAGGTCAATAGTAGACAGTCTAAGGTTAAAATTATTGGGGTTTGGGGAAGAAACCACAGTCAGGTAGAGTATTCCAGACATTGACTGCTCTGTTGCTGAAGTCGTATTTCCTGCAATCAAGTTTGGTGCGATTAACCTTGAGTTTGTATCTATTGTGTTGTTATGGTTGAAGCTGAAGTATTCATTGACAGGTAGGATATTGCAATGTATGATTTTATATACTATACTTAGATCGGACTGAGGCAGCGTAGTTCTAGGTTTTCTAGGTCTAGAATTTCAAGTCTGGTGGCATAAGGTATTCTACAATGAGTAGAGGAGTGGAGAACTCTTCTTGTGAAATATTTCTGGACTTTCTCCACTGTGTTAATATCAGATACGTAATGTGGGTCCCAGACTGATGAGCTGTATTCGAGTCTTGGTCTAGCAAATGTTTTGTATGCTCTAGTTAGTAGTGTAATATTACCAGAGAAAAAGCTACGTAGGATTAGATGAACAAACTCTTAACGCCTTTTTGGCTATGTAGTTACAGACTTTGCTTGACAGAAGGTCGCAAAAGGAGATTGAGTGATCCCTGGGACTCTGTGACCGTCATAAGGACCAGCCAGTTGCCAACAATTTGGATCACGTGACCTTGGGGATGCCACAACAGCCCTAAGTGTGAAAAACAGTCATAAGTCCCTTTTTTCAGTGTCATTGTAACTTTGAACGGTCACTAAATGAACCATTGCAAGTCGTAATGCTGGTTACAAAATCTTTATTGGAATAAGGTGCCATTTATAGAAGCCCCTGAATTTGCCCCAAATATTGGAAATGCCTTTCCACCGTTTCACGAGCAGCCACTCCTAACTCGTCTGGATGAAGTGCTGGTTGTTACTGCTGGCTAATACAGGATTTCGCAATCACCCAGGCACGACAGTCTTATTTTGGTAAACCTCCACAACCCGAACAGATGCTTTCAAAGGCTTCCCTTCCACGGACCAATCAAAGCTTCCCCATAGCTGGGATGCAGAAGTATTTTTTTCTGAATCGGCAAAACAAACTTCACAAGCATATTAGCAATGGAGGAGGATCCTCAAAAGCCCCCCAACAGCTGAGCGCTTAAGCAACAAGCAAGAAATCTTCCGCGACTGGCACAAAAGATGCGGTCCCTGTAAAACAGCGCCAGATCCACTGATTCCTCTCAACCCTTGTGGCCAACCCAAGGATCTCAGTGCAACCAACCAGAGATTCGATATAAATGGGAAAGCCAGGATTTTATTGCTCCGAAGGCTCCATGGAACCGTATTTTCTGGACTTCATTGGCAGCCAAAGCTTGAATTTCACTTCTGGTAGGATTTATTTCCTAGTTGGCAATGAACATGATTTGTTTTGTGTGTTTATTTGAAATTATTTCCTCCGGCTTCACCGCCACCATCACACGAAGCACAAACGGCTGACAGGATGTTGGGAGGAATCTTGTAAACATCCGTTTGAAGGACTCCCAAGCACCGGCAGCCAATGAAGCCTCGTCGTAACACACACACACACACACACACACACACACACACACACACACACACACACACACAGAGTTTGGGCTCCAGTGAGCACCCGCTCGTTTGGTCCTCACTTCAGGGAGCTCTTGGCTCTCCCTCGCTCGGAAGTCTTTAAAGGGGAACCTTGAAATCCCCCCCCCTCCCATTGAGATGACCAGCTCTGACGTCCAAGCCCCCCAAAGCCAAAAATCTTTTCTCCAAACTCACGGACGGGCGAGACTAGAAGGATGTTCTTCCTTGCCTGGAGACACCCCACTAATTCAGGGGGGGTCCGAGATTCTGTTGGTGTGCAACGCACCTTTACTAACACCCTTCCCCCCCTCCCCCACCGACTAATCCTTGCTCTGAGGAGACACGGAAGCCGCTTGAGGCACAACGGAGGCCTGGTAGGCTTTGCAAGAGAGCAGCCCGCCCCCTCCCTCCCTGCCTCGGCCGCTGTGGGGAAGGACCTGCGCTGGACGTGGACGGTCCGCAACCTGGAGCCGCTCTCGGGAATCTAGAACCTTCCCTCCCTTCAGATCTTCTTTCGGGCACCCTAATAGTAACGATAAAACTCACACGTCCTAAACCGGGGCAGCTTTGTGCCAAACCGAAAGGCCCAGTTTGTTCACCAGTCTCTACTCAAAATAGATTTAACTTATACTTTGGTTCACAAACCACTTGAACAATATTCCTATGTTCCAAGCCGAAGGACAACACTGCGCCGTTTTTGTTTCAAAGAGAGGAATCCTATATAGGCAAAGAATTGATTAGCGGGACGCTTTGGGAGTACACAAAACACTTCACCAATGGACCACACGGAGAACCTATATGCACACGGATCCCATAGAAATTGTTTACTGCATTGTTTCTCTGAGACAAGGCAAAACACAGTATTGTGGTTAAGATGCTGGCTGAGAACCCAGAAGGTGGTCAGTTCTAGTCCCGCCTTAAGCCATGAAAGCCAACTGGGTGACTTTGGGCCAGTCCTTCTCTCTCAGCCCAACCTACCTCACAGGGTTGTTGTTGTGGAGAAAACAGGAGGAGGAAGGAATATCAGGCATGTTTGCTGCTTTGAGTTATTGATAAAGTAATAAAGGTGGGATAAAAATCAAATAAATACATAAATGTAAGTACCAAGCGTTCTATTTTGACAAGATTTTTAAAACACGCACACTCAGACCACACAAACACACTGCTCTCAATGAATTAGAGTGACAGGTCTGCTGTACAAATTTATCCATAATTTTTGAGTCTAGGTGGTCCTGAGAAAGGTCAGGCAAGGTTGATCCTTGAGTAGGAGGTCAACTCCAAGTTCTAGGTCAGGGGGTGTCCAACCTTGGCAACTTTAAGACTTGTGAAGTTGAAGTCCACAAGTCTTAAAGTTGCCAAGGTTGGACACCCCTGTTCTAGGTTCATCTAGCATTGAGCAAAAGAGCTCCAAGGAAGGCAATGATGGCCAGCTCTTTCCACCAATGGCAACCCAGCTCTTGCCAAGAGAGCCACACGCGGCCCATGTCATTACCAGAGACTGGACTCAGTTGGAGCCAGCCTTGCCTTCTCAGGATACAGACACACCTTCCACGTATCCTGGATTCATATGCCTTTTTTAAATACGGGAAAAACTATTTGTTCATTTTTTGTACAGGTACCAATAATACAATCTCTAAATAATACAATCCCCCAGATTTTTGTTTTTGTTTCTTTGTTTTTGGCTATAATACTTAAGACACACAAGATTTTTTTTTACAGAAAAGCCAAGTTAAAGTCCTATCAACTGGGTTGCCTGTCACATCAGAGGTTTAATCCAGGGAAAACAATGGAATTTGCTGAGATTCAGGTCTCAAGACTTCCACGTCAACCCGAGTAGCAGCATTTTAAAAAATGGCGGAACATTTTTCCTTTGTTTATATTTAGCAGTAAAGGGCCCAAGAAGCCAATAAGCACTACTATTGTCTAGACCAGGGGTCTCCAACCCTGGCAACTTTAGGTAATGGTAAAGGTTCCCCTCGCACCTACATGCTAGTTGTTTCTGGCTCCAGCGGGCCGGTGCTCATCTCCGTTTCAAAGCCGAAGAGCCAGCACTGTCCGAAGACGTCTCTGTGGTCAGGACTAAACGCCTTCAAAGGCGCACGGAGGAACGCCGTTCCCTTCCCACCAAAGGGCTCCCTATTTTTCTACTTGCATTTTTTACATGCTTTCAAACTGCCAGGTCGGCAGAAGCGGCTGGGACAAGGAACGGGAGCTCACTCCTTTACGCGGAGCGAGGGATTCAAACCGCCGAACTGCCGACCTTTCTGATCGACAAGCTGAGCCCCTGAGCCACCATGTCCCATTTTGGCAACGTTAAACCTGGGGAATTCTGGGAGTTGAAGTCCTCCAGCTTTAAAGTTGCCAGGGTAGGAGACGGCTGGTCTAGACCAATGATGGGCCCTTCACCCACCGGGACAGGAGGGCAGGTGTGAGATCATTCCCCTTCACAAACCACGGGGCGGTGGTTCAGTTCCTTGGTGGATTCCGTCACTCACCTGGGGATTTCATGTAATATTGCTCGATGTCCGACATGTCCGTGTTCAGGGCACACTCCAGGTAGCGGAGGATAACTTTCCTGCTGAAGTAGTACCTCATCCCCATCAGGAAGATGGGCAGGCAGCAGGTCACCAGCAAGGACTTGGTCACCACAAAGCAAATGACTGTGGAGACAAGGAAGAGAAAGGAAGGAGGCCTGTCAGAAGACAACACTTAGGCAAGAAAAACCCAAAGGACGCATACAGACTGGGTGAAACCAGGCTCAATAGCACAAACTGGGAGAGGGATCTTGGAGTCTTAGTGGACAACCAGCTAAATAGGAGCCAGCCGGGTGCAGCCGCCGCCACCGCCAAAAAAGTTAATGCAATCCAAATTGTATTAACAGAGGGATACAATCGAGATCAAGGGAGTTACTAATACCACTCTATAAAGCCTTAGTAAGACCACACCTAGAGTACTGCATCCAGTTTTGGTCACCACACTATAAAAAAGATGTGGAGGCTCTGGAAAGAGTACAGACAAGAGCAACCAGGATGATGAGGGGACTGGAGGCTAAAACATACGATGAACGGTTGCAGGAACTGGGCCTGGCTAGTCTAGGGAAGAGAAGGACCAGGGGAGACAGGAGAGCATCTTCCAATATTTGAAGGGCTGCCCCAGAGAGGAGGAGGGGATCATCCTGTTTTCTAAAGCACTTTTGAAGGCCAGACAAGGAATAACTGGAAACTGATCCAGGAGAGATTCAACCTGGAAATAAAGAGACACTTTCTGACAGGGAGAAGCGGTTCAACCCATGGAACAGAAGTTGCCTTCAGAAGTTGTGGGAGCGTCACACTGGAGACTTTCAAGAAGAGACTGGACTGCCCTCTGTCAGAAATGGTGTAGGGTCTCTTGCTTGGGCATGGGGGGTTGGACTAGATGACCTACAAGGTCCCTTCCCATTCTGACGATCTGTTACATCTGTTAAGAGAGAAGGCAGGACTGATTCTGGCAGACAGACCCCAAAGTCCCAGGCACGACATGGTTCCTGCTGGCTGTGTGAAGGTGGCCTGTATTCCTTTCCTCGGCCCATAAAAGGATTCCTCTAATAAACAGCTCCAGGCAGTCCTTGACCTACAACAGTTCATTTAGCGACTGTTCGAGGACCCCGCCTGTCCAGTATTTCTCCAGACTGCTTCCCCGTCTCCCTCCATTCTATAAAAATTCTCCCAACTTTCATTCTGAAGGGTTTTCCACCCCAAGAGTTAATGCCTTTCCTCGAATCCGAAGGCACAATTTTTCTATGTTAGATTCAAGATTTGTTGGTAGCCCAGAATACGCTTAACTAATGTGCATTAAAGGACAACTCCTACTTCTTGTAACTAAGAAATTGCTTCATAAATTACAGGAGCTTCCCCCCCCACACACACACAGCCACATCATATTTCTCAGCTGGTTCATATTCAGTGTGTGACTGAATGTGATGTAGATGCAACACAAAATCTAGCCAACGCCCAGGATCCTTTCTTTTGTGCGTGTGATTGGTGCTCAGTCAAGACTCTTTGTCTAAGTGCAAAAGTTGCTTTGAATTTCCCTCGGTGAGACTGAGCCAACCGTCCGTTGCATTCCGCTACACGTGGTCCTCATTTAGCAACTACCTTACTTAGTGACAGTCTGTAGGGATAATGAGGACAAAAAGTCATTCTGCAACCAAACCTCCCACTTACAACCCTGGGAGGTCTGTAAAGCAAGAAAAGGGGAAGCGGTTTCCTCTAGCAACCACTTTGCTTAACCACCGAGTGGCTAGTTCCTGGGACGGCTGCTAAGCAAGGACTAGTGCGCCGGGTTTTGAGTTATACTTCTGCAAAGTTGGTCACCTTTCCTAAAGAATAATAGTTTTACCTGCAAATCTAGGAGAGGTTGCTAATTCCCAAGAATGAATCTGAATATTATGACTGCACTTATGCCATGTATTTTTAAAAAAAAAAAAGAAAAATTGATTTTGCACACATGGGGAACCTGTGGAGATACGTATTTTCTAACAACAACACCCCCCTACAAATCACAAAACTCCAAAGAAACAACAAAGCACCTCAAAGTCAAGACTACATCGTAGCCATTTAAAAAACCTGTAATCACAGCCAATTATACGTCCTCGGTTATAATTAACTTTAGCCTTTGTTTCACTAAGAAAAAGCCCCCTTTCCTCAAAACCAATTCGAAGGCTGTTCCTGGGATATAAGAGGAGTGAAAAATTGGAACCACTCAAGACAGCAACACGGGGTGGGGGGGGGAAAGATACTGCAATAAAGTCCAACATGAAGGTAGCTGAGGTAATTTCTTCAGAACGGAATATGTAGAACTGAGCAATGAAGCAAAAGTCCATTGAGATGAGTAATTAACGGCTGTGAAAAGAACAGGGGAAAAAACGTGTAAATCTTTGGGAAGATCAAAAAAATGGGATACCTGGGAATGTCCTTTTTCATTTGGGGGAACCTTTCCGGAAGGGTCCTCCCCCAGACCTCCATCAATGGGCAGGACTGCCCTTTGTCAGAAATGGTGTAGGGCCTCCCGCTTGGGCGGGGGCTGGACTAGAGGACCTACAAGGTCCCTTCCAACTCTGATGATCTGTTATCTGTTATTTGGGAGAGGAGGAGATGATCCTTCAGGTATGGTGTCCTGTTGGGATCATATGAGAGGGACAAGCAGTCGGACCACTTAATGTCACTCCCAGGGTGTTCGATGCTTCCACAAACGGGACCCAGTCCCGTCCCTGGCCGGCTCCACTGGTGGCAGGTGCAGTTCCTGAGGGGGACCTCGGGGCACCCCTCGGTGTCCAGGGAAGGTTCCACTTGAGTTTCTCTGACAGGGGACCCTGCCGCCTCTGCCTGAAGGACCCTCAAGATGGGCGACTGACACGGAACAGCCTGGCCTGCGAGACGGTCGGGAAGTCCCTCCTGCGCTTTCGCCCCTTTAGCTCCTCCGTTATGGTGTCAATCCCTGAATGGGGTTCCTGTCCCCGGGGACCAATGTCCTCCCAAGTGACAATCCTGTGAAGAGGGTTACCACACCTGCCCAAGGTCCTCTCCTCTGTAGATGAATTCTACCAGATCTTCTGACCATTCCTCAGAAAGCGGAGCTTCCATTGAATAGAACTGGAAGGGACCTTGGAGGTCTTCTAGTCCAGCCCCCCCCCCCCCAAGCAGGAGACCCCATACCGTTTCAGACAAATGACTGTCCGGTCTCTTCTTAAGAACCTCCTGTGAAGAAGCACCCAGAACCTCTGGTGGCCAGCTGTTCCACTGGTTAATTGTCCCCACAGTTAGGATGCTTCTCCTTAATTCCAGGTTGCTTCTCTCCTGGACTGGTTGCCATCCTTTGCCCTTCGGGGCTTTGGGAAATAAGTTGACCCCCCCCCCCCCCGTCTGTGGCAGCCCCTAAACGCTGGGATGCTTCCAGACTCTGCAGCATCCGGATAACCTTCCGCTACCTTCATCCACGCTTGTCCTTGTCCTGTTTGAATGGACTCCAGTTGGAGTCTGACCAGAGAAGGCTGGATAAGGTCTCCCTGTGATCAAGGCAGCGTGCTCCTGTGTCCATAGCCATAAACCCAGGGTAGGAATCTGACGTTTTATCTTCACATCTCCTATGGCCCACAAGCCATCCAGACCTCTTTGAAACGCCTCCCACACCCGACACTCGAGCCTGGCTTCCCCCTGGTCAGAATGTCCCATTTCTTTTTTCTTTGATCTCAGATAACAGATAATCAGAGTTGGAAGGGACTTTATAGGTCACCCCCTGCCCAAGTGGGAGACCCTACACCGTTTCTGACAGATGGGAGTCCAATCTCTTTTTGAGAGTCTCAAGTGATGAAGCTCCCACAACTTCCAAGGGCAACTTCCATCGGTTGATTGTCCTCACTGTCAAAAAGTTCCTCCTTAGTTCCAGGTTGAATCTCTCCTTGGTCAGTTTCCATCCATTATTCCTTGTCTGGCCTTCAGGTGCTTTCAAAAATAGCTTGACCCCCCTCCTCCTTCTCTCTGGGGCAGCCCCTCAAATATTGGAAGGCTGCTCTCCTGTCTCCCCTGGTCCTTCTCTTCCCTAGACCAGTCAGGCCCAGTTCCTGCAACCGTTCATCGCATGTTTCAGCCTCCAGTCCCCTCATCCTCTTTGTTGCTTTTCTCTGTTCTTTTTCTAGAGTCTCAACCTCTTTTTTACAATGTGGTGACCAAAACTGGATGCAGGATTCTAGTCCTGCATCCAATACTCATCCTATCTATTTCAGCCTCTTGTTCCATCCTGTCCAGATCTTCTTCAATCTTCTTCCTGTAGAGTCTTAGCTCCTCTTTCAACACCGTGTTATCTGCAAACTTTTCGGAAGCCACCCCCTCAATTTCCTCATGCAAGTCTTTAATGAAAATGTTGGACCAAGCAGGCGAAGAAGGACAGAATCCGGTGGCGCTCCGTGTCATATTTCCCCCCCACACACAACGATTCCTGGCAATGGATCCATTCTGGCTCCTGTTCTTCCCAGCACACTTCTCCAAGCACCCACAAGCCTGCTGCTTGATGACCTGTTCAAAGTTCTTGCCCAAGAAGATCCACAGGAAGGAGGGGCCAGGTCCCTTCTACCTCCTCCTCTTGAAGATGGGAAGGGCGTTTGCTCTCTGCCTTCCTTCGAGGGCCTCCCCAGCCTTCCAGAAGTTTCTGGAGATTGCTGAAGGTATTCCACGAATCGCCTCTGTTTCTTCAGCGGTTGAGGATATAATCCACCTGGGCCGGGAGACCCGAATTCATTTAAACCAGCTACATCCTTCTTGCCTCCTCCTTGCCTGTCCAAAGCCTGTCGTTCCTTCCTTTCCCCCCTGGCTTTATCAGCCGCCGTTCCATTTTTCTTTTGACAGAAGATCCGAGTTAGAATTTTTCACCATTACCCTTTAATCTTCACTATTCTCTCTTTGGCTTTTTGTTATTTTTGCATCTCTGGCAAATCTCAAATCTCATTCTGAGCTTTACCCTTTCTCCCTCCCTCCCTGCATTCCTTCCTTCCTTCCTCCCTCCCTGCATTCCTTCCTTCCTTCCTTCCTTCCTCCTCTCTTCCTCCCATTCATCCATCCACCAGTGTCCCTATATAGCACTGCCCATTCCAATCTTTCTGGATCCTCCTTCCACATTTCCCTGGCCACATCAATACATTATCAAAATTAATTATGAAAAATTAGTTCAGTACGTCCAGAAATACTTCAGTCATGAATTATTCCAGGTCTGCAGAAACATTTAGGCCAAATAGAATTTTTAAAAAAATTGATCGGCAGTCAGACTCTCCTGGCAATGGCTCATTGTCCCTCGTTCCAGCTGAGTTTTAGTTACTACCTGGAGGTCCCCAGCATCTCCACCTACCAACCATGGTCTAAGGGCCGGTCTTGACAAGGCGGGCTGCCCCTTAATCCCAAAGCTGGCCCAGCCTGCTCAGACGGGCACTGTAGCTCCCCAGGCGGCCTCAGTAGGTTCCCATCGGGACTCCCGAGGCTGGCTGGACACGGCTGGGAGTGGCCGCTTCCTTAACTCACCTGGGTCTACAGAGCAACACACTGCAAAATGGAAGAGATGCAAAATGGGCACCTGGCGAGAAGGCCTTTACTGGCACGGAAAGCGAGACAATCAGAGCAAGAAAGCAGATTTTCTTCGAGAAAAAGACCCAAATAGGAAAAAAAAAA